AGCGGGGCAACGCCGGGTAGCCCGGTCGGCGGAGGGAGGGCCGACGGAAAGCACGAAGCACCAGGGTGGGAACGGGGATCGGAGGAGAAGCAAGTCTGCGGTGTACGAGCGAAACGCGTTCGTCTCTCGCGAGCGAGCAACGAAGACGAACGCGCGCCGCGGTTCCCGCGGGAGCGAACAAGACTTCCCGTGGCCGAACGAGAACAGAAATACGATCTGCACGGACGCGAACGAGACGCGATGGAAAAGACGAAAGCCGGAACACGTTTCTCGAATGCGCGACGAAGACGGATGCAAGGTTTGCGAGAGACCGAGGAAGGACAGAAGCGATTTAACGCGAGCGCGACAAAGGTAGCGTTATGTATTCGCGTGAACGTGCCGATTGAGACTGTATATAGATATATGCGTGCCTATCGGACAGAGAGAGAGAGAGAGAGAGAGAGAGAGGCGACTGGAGGGGAGAAGAAGAAAGAGAAGCAAACGTCGCAGTGGCGTATGCCTAAACTTAGGATCCCATACGCCGCGAACGAATCGAAAGAACGAATATTTTCGTGCTCGCGGACCGGAGCTCTTTCGTCGAATATAGCGAATCTTACGCGGGATATAGTTCGAAGAATCTTAACGGAACCGAGCGCGGAATAAAGGCCTTTCGGATCGGCCCTGTGTCGATTCGACTTAACTCTATTTCACCCGACACGAGCCAAACGTTGTACGCGCGTCAGCCAGGGAAGAGGGTATGGTCGCTTTCGGGAAAGGATGAAACGAAACGAAACGAAACGCAACGCGAGACAGAGGACGCGGTATTAAGAGTAGCGTCTGGTCCGAGAAAGAAAAGAAGGAAAGAAAGAAAGAGGACACGAGTCGCAAACTGCGGTGCTTGTACGCGGACAAAGGGAATCTGCGGCTCCAGTCACCTCTCGACGCACACGCATACGCGAATAAAGTGCAACTGTGCCTGCACGCATGCACGCACGCACGCACGCCACGCCGTTGCAGAAACCGCGCGTGTACAGTCGCCGGAAGAAGCGGCAATTCTCTCGTTTCTTCCCGTTTCGCTTCGTTCCTTTATCTTTCGACTCGCTTTTCGATAATTCGCGTTCATCGACGAGCACAGAAAACTATTTTATTCGCGATAGTTCGCGAAATATCCTTTTTGCTCGTTTCGCGAATAAATTTCTCGCAAAATCGCGTTCAAGTTCAAGGCGAAGAAAACGAAGAGGGGAAGAAGAGAAAGGAGAACGACGGCGATACCGATCGTTCGTGTCCCTTCATCTTTCATTTCGTTAGGACGCGACGCGACGCGACGTCCGTGGTTCTTTCTCTCGGACCGCTCGAAGAAAGGAGATACCGATCGAGAACGAGGTCACTAGAGAACGCTATCCTTATTCCCGCGATATTCGAGGCGCTCTTTGCTCGCCTGGTCGCGTATACTTACATAAGTCGTTCTAGGTTTCCCGCTGAACTTGAACGAACACAGCCGATGAAATACGAACGATTCGGTATCGAAGCGATCGAAACGATCGAAACGAAAGAAAACGAAAACAAGATATTCCTATGTCGGATCTCGGTCGATCCTCGGTCGATCCTCGGTCGATCGTCGACGCGAGCAACTATCGGACAGTGGCATCGTACGTAAAATCGCGATACAGCGACGCGCGCGTACGCATTTGCGCGTTTCGTTGTACCAAGACTATACGCGCTTTTCGACCACGCAAACGCTCTAAGAGGACGTGGATTCTTCTTCGAAACGGAAAGTCTCCTAGGTATCGAACAAAAGTTTCGAACGCGGTTTCATCGAGAGGATATAAGAGAGAGAGACAAAGAGAAAGAGAGAGAGAGGGCGAAGCGTTATCGAGTTACCGAATTAGAGAATCGTTCGAGAAGAAATCGTTTTGCAAGTTCACTGGCGAGTAGCCGCGAATCGAGTTCGAAGCGAACGCTGGCAGCGAGATACGAAACTCTAAACTCTAAACGAACAACACCGATCAGGGGCACGAGCATCGTTGCGTGCCAACACGTTTTGCTTCACGGACTGGAGTAAAAGGGAGATAAAAAAAAATGGTAAAATAACGACGCTCCGAGTATCTACGTTCCATATTTTCGCTCGCAAGGATGAAAAGATATTTCGATTCCTTTCGAATTACCGCGCTAAATTACTAAATAAAAGTGATTCGTCCCCCAGGGAAATGAACGGCTTTTAAAGTTAACGAGTTTACGGTAACGAGTAATCGTATCGCGCAACTGATCGAACGCGTAGAAAAACGATAGTTTCCGATTAATCTAGACGAGATCTACGCGACGATTAGAACGATCCTGCAAATACGTATATCGAGATCGATCGTTGCGGCGATACGTCGGTTGAGTGTCACTGCGCCGGGACACGTGTTGGTGCCAGTAGTAGTATTAGTAGCAGCGGTAGCGGTAGTAGTAGCAGCTTGATTGCCGGACAATGGAATCTAACGAGACGAGGTTCAACACTGTCTTATTGATCTCGCGAAAGTGGAAAGCGTAATAATGGTAGCATCCTATCGAAAACAGTCGCGCGTTCGATGTCGAATTTTCTTCGCGATACGAACGAGCGAAACGAACAGAAGAGAAAGTAAAAGCAACGACGAAAGTTGCGACGAACACGGATTATTCGCGCGAATTTTTATCGATGAACACGAAACGATTTACTTCGATTTCCGAGCGTAGCTATCCAAGGTTAATTTTTCTTAGTTTGGCGGTTACGTTCTTTTACTTTCTCCGACAGGAAGCATCGATTTCTCGGTAAACGACGCTCGGTCGCGCGACTTTCTTTCGTACATAGAAATTTAGCTGGCATCTTGAACACGGCGCGCAGTAGTACTATTCGATCAAAACGATTTCTAGCTTGTACGAGTACGCGACGCGAAAGGGCATACGAGAATATTAAGGAAAAAAAAAAAGCGATAAAAAGTAGGCATACCGAAGGGTAAGATTCGAATCGTCGAACGCAAACCGGTAAAAAAGAATCGAGTTAACGCGCCACGAGTCTACGCGCCATCTGGGAAACACGCTTATGGTAAGCACGGTAACGAGCTTTACCGACGACAGGTGCGTTCCGGAAAATCTCGATCGGTAAATTAGAAATCCGTGTTGCGACGTCGGACTGAAACACGGAACACGGAAACAGGGATCGAGTTAACTTCCGATGGATGTGCAGAGGCACAGAAAAACGGTAGGACCAGCCAAGCGATTCGTTTCCGCGGTCGGTAAAAACGTTCACCGTGTTCCGGTATCGGACGCGAACGCGACGCGAACGCGAAGCGACGAACGAAAGGGAGAAAGTTCGGAACGTTTAGCCGATTTACGAACGCGTTTCGATTCGAAACAGAAGCTGGTTATTTTCCGAAATAAGGAAAACCCGTCTCTGAACGACAGAGACTATTGTGTCTAAAATGCTTTCCTACCTGAAGTTCCGCTTGCGACACGTCGATTTCGCCCCTGTAGACGAATTCTATGATGAATTTCAGATCATTGAAACAAACGTCCTGGGGCATGATGATCGTCGGATGCTTGCACGGATTCGAGAGCAGAAGCTTTTGAAAGTAGGAACTGCACGCTGACAATACCACCTGCGCAAACAGAAGGATCACTGATACGAACGAAGATCGAGAGGGTAGAGGAACGAAAAGCGAGTTTTCATCGACGGAACTGGCGACGAGGAAGGAAAATCGATAGATTCGTCGAACGATCGATAAGACTTATCTTTCGTTCTCGATTCGCTTACCTTGTGTGCCTTTAAGGAAGCTTCGTTGCACGCTAGCGTGACATCGACGAACGCTTCCGTCTGAAGGAGTTGGTGGAAAACGGACGTCATGTTTGATTGGTAATTGTTCCAGCGCAGGCAGTAGTGCTGCCCGGCCATGCCGCCGCTGCAACAGAAACACCGCGGATCATTCTCGCTATTCCCGTTTCGCTCTTAGCGAAATAGAGTTCGTCGAATAAATCGCGCTCGCGATCGACGACGCGCGTTCTTTCCGTAGGTCGCGCGTACGCGACAGAGGAGAACGAGAACGTAGGAAAATGCGTAGGAACGAGGCAAGAACGCAGAAACGCGCAAAGTCGTCTCTCGCAACGACGTTCTTCCTTCTTCTCGAGATCGATCCGTAAAGCGGGACAGTACCTGTAGTGCACGCCCCAATAACGATCCGTCTCCATGAAATATTCGTTTTCTAATCCGGCGCAGCTACGAAAAAGTTCTATCGGCGATGTTTCTCGCGTTGTACTTACGCGTGCGAGTCGCGATCAACGATCCGGCACCGGCCGACGGTTAACGGAGTAAGACAGGCTACCTCGGCGAAAGATGGAAATCGGTAAAGGAAGGCTGGATCGCGAGGAAACGAGAGAAAACGCAGGGACAGAAGGAAGAAACGCGGAACGAATAGAGGGAGAAACGATGCACAACCGGTCTTTCCTTCCTTCGATACCGGTGTATCGAAATCGAGAAACACTTTCACGGCAGGTTTAGTCAACGTCGACGATGGCAACGACGATCGAGCCTCCTTCTCTCTGTTCCTCTCTCCGTTTTACTCGGCGAAACGGTCACGATAACGCGAGCGACGTTCGGTCGCGGGTAAAGAAAGGTGTACGAACGAGAGAAAAACGAGGTTCGGGACGCGTAACCCGTTTACCGGACGTCGTTGATCGATCGGAAGAAGATTCACGGACGCGAATAATCGCGAATCGACGCGACAAAAGTAACGAACAAATTCGGGCGTTGGTCTGTCTCGTAATATTCACCTGTTCCGTGGACCGTGCTTTATCTGTCTCTATCTATGCGACTTTTTATACGGCCCATTCCGTCTTATCTATCCGTAGGAACACGGACTTTTATCAGTTGCTTAGAAGCGCGCCGATAACGCGAAAACTTTAAGCTCTTCTTTCGTTTCGTTCCTTTTTCCGTCATTTACTCGTTCGCGTTATTCGGTTTTCTTCGCGTCGCGAGCACGTAACCTTTTCCTCTCTCTCTCTCTCTTTCTCCGTCTGTCTGTCTGTCTGTGATTCGAAATCGATCGATCAACCGACGAGCGGCACGAAATTAAATGGTCGATTCGCGTCGTTCGTCGAAGGGTTGAAAAGACGTTGGCGCGTTTTCCTACGCAGTTTCCGCGGACTTCGATGCGATCACGGCGTTTGCGAAGTTTAACGAATTCGATGTCGCACGGTACAGCAAGTATCGGGAACAACTGCGTCGATATCTAGAAATTGGGTTAGCTGGTATGCTCCGCTCGAAGACGAACTGATAATGAGCGATAACGACCGAGAAGTGGCGACGAATCGATAGCGGATCGATCGATTTTCTCGCGCGCTTTCGTTCCACGCGAATCGCGATAACGTTGAACACGGCGACGATGACGACGACGATGACGACGACGACGACGACAGGCAAGAGGACGATCGAAGAGAAATAACCTCCGAACACGCGACGATCGAGCATAAAAGGATAATTAAAACGTTGGCGAGAATCGAGAGAAAACCGGATGTAACGCGACTCGAAGAAACGGAGTGAGACCAGCTCTAGTTCGTCGGGCATTACGTTCGGTTAGCGGCACGCGTGTTCGCCGAAAGCGTATATCGTCGCGTCGATTCGTCGAAACGCGTAGCAGCGTTTCTGCGCGTACCAGACGGACGAAAGAACCTCTTCGATCGATGCCGCGATCGTTCGTGCCCGATCGAATCGATCCTTCCTTCGATACCGGTGTATCGAAATCGAGAAACACTTTCACGGCAGGTTTAGTCAACGTCGACGATGGCAACGACGATCGAGCCTCCTTCTCTCTGTTCCTCTCTCCGTTTTACTCGGCGAAACGGTCACGATAACGCGAGCGACGTTCGGTCGCGGGTAAAGAAAGGTGTACGAACGAGAGAAAAACGAGGTTCGGGACGCGTAACCCGTTTACCGGACGTCGTTGATCGATCGGAAGAAGATTCACGGACGCGAATAATCGCGAATCGACGCGACAAAAGTAACGAACAAATTCGGGCGTTGGTCTGTCTCGTAATATTCACCTGTTCCGTGGACCGTGCTTTATCTGTCTCTATCTATGCGACTTTTTATACGGCCCATTCCGTCTTATCTATCCGTAGGAACACGGACTTTTATCAGTTGCTTAGAAGCGCGCCGATAACGCGAAAACTTTAAGCTCTTCTTTCGTTTCGTTCCTTTTTCCGTCATTTACTCGTTCGCGTTATTCGGTTTTCTTCGCGTCGCGAGCACGTAACCTTTTCCTCTCTCTCTCTCTCTTTCTCCGTCTGTCTGTCTGTCTGTGATTCGAAATCGATCGATCAACCGACGAGCGGCACGAAATTAAATGGTCGATTCGCGTCGTTCGTCGAAGGGTTGAAAAGACGTTGGCGCGTTTTCCTACGCAGTTTCCGCGGACTTCGATGCGATCACGGCGTTTGCGAAGTTTAACGAATTCGATGTCGCACGGTACAGCAAGTATCGGGAACAACTGCGTCGATATCTAGAAATTGGGTTAGCTGGTATGCTCCGCTCGAAGACGAACTGATAATGAGCGATAACGACCGAGAAGTGGCGACGAATCGATAGCGGATCGATCGATTTTCTCGCGCGCTTTCGTTCCACGCGAATCGCGATAACGTTGAACACGGCGACGATGACGACGACGATGACGACGACGACGACGACAGGCAAGAGGACGATCGAAGAGAAATAACCTCCGAACACGCGACGATCGAGCATAAAAGGATAATTAAAACGTTGGCGAGAATCGAGAGAAAACCGGATGTAACGCGACTCGAAGAAACGGAGTGAGACCAGCTCTAGTTCGTCGGGCATTACGTTCGGTTAGCGGCACGCGTGTTCGCCGAAAGCGTATATCGTCGCGTCGATTCGTCGAAACGCGTAGCAGCGTTTCTGCGCGTACCAGACGGACGAAAGAACCTCTTCGATCGATGCCGCGATCGTTCGTGCCCGATCGAATCGATCGATACGCTTTCTCGACGGTCGATCTTTGGCGCGCGCGGCGCGCGGCGCGCGGCCCGAGGCGCGCACACATCTCTACTCGGCTTCCCTCCAGTTATACAAACATCTTTTCAACGATACATATTCCTCTTACTTTCACTGATATCGAGGTGCAAAGAAATCGAGCGTCGAGTACCAGGATCGCGACGTATCGTCGAACGAACGAAGGGTGAGAGGGACGACTTGATGGAAAAACGGCGATTCGCGTGGGCCGTTGTTCCGAAAAAGCGGCAAGCGAACGCGGCCGCGCAACCAACATAGAGAAACGGGACGAAGGCGAGAGAGGATCGAAGAAAACGAAACGAGACACGTACCGTCGTTTCGCCACGATGTAGAAACGCGTGAAACTTTAACCGCGAAGGAAACTTCGACACGGCATCGAGTCTGAACGTTAATCGAACGAGTAGTCGATACGGAAGGCGCGACGATATTCGTTTATATCGAGGATATACGTACGTAGATAGACCGGAGCGTAAAAAAGTTGGCGCACTCTCGACGCGCTCGACGTTTCCAACGATCGGCAACAGCGGTAATGTTAGCGCGCGAAATGGAAAGCACACAGAAGAAGCGTAGAAGGAGAAGGAGGAGCAAGAGGGGAAGGAGAAGGAGGAGAAGGAGAAGGAGAAGGAGAAGGAGGAGGAGAAGGAGACGCAGCGTTTCGAAACGATCGAATATCGAGTCGAGCGACGAAAATCGACGAAAGTCGAGAAATATATCGCGCGTCGTATCGGTAGACGACGTCGATCCCTCGCGTGTTCGCGCTTTCTTTCGCGGCCTCGAAGAAGGACACTGCGTTGGTCTCTCCCTTTCAGAGAATACTCCCTTCCATTTTTCCCTTCCACGATTCATCTCAATTTTTCTTCGAGCTTTTTGTGTCCAATTTCACCTCGCCTCCCTCGGATCCCGTCCTCTTTCTTTTTCCCCGTCCGTCTCTCCGCCGTTCGTGAAGTAGACGAGCACGCTTCCCTCCCTCTTCTTCTACCCCCGTAACCGTTCTCGTTCCGTCTCCTTCTTTTCTTTTCTCCCGCCCTCCTGCTCCCTCGGTCGTTTCATCGTTTCTTTCTCTCCTCTCCTCTCCTCTCTCGTTCCCTCTTTCTCCTCGCGTTGGCTCCATTTACTCGTTCCCTCGTTCCCCCGTTCCCTCCCTACGACGCGAAGACGCTATTTTCTCGTGGCCCCTTTTCTTCCACGGTCTCCGCCACCCTTCTCTCTTTTTCTCCTCTCCTCTCCTCTCCTCTCCTCTCCTCTCCTCTCCGCTCTGCTCCGCTCCGTTCGCTCGCCTCATCGCGACTCTTCTCTCCTCTCCGCCGCGTCTCGACGCGGTACCATGCTGTTCTCTCGCTCGATGGGAAGCTGTCTCTACCCTCTCTCTTTCTCCTCTCTTCCTCTCCTTATACCCTCCTGTACGCGCCGTTTCCTTCTCCTTCTCGTCGCTGCGGGTTTTACGTTTTTCCAACGTTATCGACGTTCTTCCTCGACTCTTCTCCGACTTTTTCCTTTCGTCGTACCATCCTCCGGACGACCAACCAGCTCTTTCTCCGGGAAAACGTAAGCGGAAACGACTACTCCCCTCCTGCCGGTTCTTCCAGTCAGGACCGCGTTTCCAAAGGAACGCTCTCAAATCTTCCAGGATAGTTTCCTCCGCTTCGCTTTCGCCTTCCTTTTTCCTCTTTCCTCTTTCCTCTTACCTCTTCTTCTTTTCCTTCCCCTCTGCGAGGAACGCTCGCGCGCGCACCATCGCCCGTGTCCAGCAAATAATCAAATTTTCATCGCTATCGTCTCGAACTAGCACCGAGTCCGTCACCGATGTTTCGATGGGAGAACGCGTATCGCTAAACGGGTGCATCGTTCTTCCGACTCCGACTTCCGATACGGAATACGATCGATCGCGATTAATCGTACGAATTATCCTCTGCGCGACGCTCGAATCGCGGAAAGATATCGAAACGAACGAACGTTCAATTTCTCTCGGATCGAATTCGATCGCGTTTCTATCTCGACCTCGTACGATGCGGTTTAATTCGGAAATCGTGCTCGGTCGTTCTCGCGGAACGAGCCACGGGACTTGCGCGCGCCTCGTTTCTCGATCGAATCGCTCTACGTTCTCCGCGAACGTCGATTCGTAAGCAACCTTGCGTCCTTCGTTCGAACGAATCCGTGCAGACTTTGCGATCGCGACGTCTACTTTTTTCTAGATAGTACTATTATTATTTCGATTCGAAATAATGCTGGTCGCACCTGTTCCTTTGGTCGACCGCGAATCTCGGGGCAGCGCAGCGCGACGCCTACGCGAACGCGTTACGCGCGTACGACGGCTAGTCGGCTCGCCGCGCCGAGACGATATCGCTGTGCCACGTGGTTCTCCGAATCGCGAGATCGAGAGAATATACTATATATATGTATATAGACGCACGATACGAGGGAGGGAGAGAGAGAGAGAGAGAGAGAGACGCGAATAAACGAGCGGAAGAGAACGGATCGAACTACGAACGAAAAGAGAATAACGAGCAGTGGTCAACGAGTCGGAGCAGTCCTAATTTCCGTCCTGTCTGTACCGTAAGGCATAACAGTACCGCATTCCAAATGCCCTTCGTTTCTTCGTTTCTCTCCGTTCACCTTTCCGAGAGAACCGGGCTCTCTCGGCCTCTCACCTGTTCCCCTTCGCCCTACCACTTTACCACTTTACCACTTTACCACTTGGAAGAGCAGTCGCGTATACGTTCTTCCTACCGGCTTTACCTCCCGCCGTTGACAGTGTTTTCGAAGGGAAGGACGCTAAGAAGGAGGAGGAAGGACGAGTTGGCGACATGGAGGGAGCAGACGGACCCGGAAACGGCAATTTCACTGGAACCGAAGGAGAGCGGAGGAATCGACGCGCGACGCGTGACGCGTGGAAACGCAAGAAAGGAGAAAGGATAGGATACGTGCCCCGTATCGTACCGGTGCGGACGCTGCTGCTTTCGATATCCTTCTACGAGTACCTGGCCGTTTCTTCTGGATCGACGCTCGATATCGCTCGAGAGGCTCTGTCGAACGACGCTTCTTCTATTCCGGTATTCTTCTGGTGAAAACCGAAGCGAACGCTACACCCGTCTTACCTTTAACCCACGCGCGTACACGCTCTACGCTTCTTTTTTGCTCTATCCTTCTGGAGTAAAGATAAACGAGGGTTGAAAGCCACCCCCGAGATACGCGTGATCGGGGTTGCGTCCCTTCGAAGGGTGCAACGTAAGAGGGTGACGTGGACTTGCCCAAGGTCGCACGTGGCCTGCCCAGAGGGATCTTTTCTCCCTAGCATCGAGGGTGCGTCATTTTTTTCCCGTTCATTCGGATATACGTATGTACGTACCTACGCGACTTTTCGAGCAAGCATCGATCTCGAACGCGCGACATCGCGAGAGGTTATGTTCTCGAAGAAATTTCGACCGATTTTCCCATCGTCCGTTCGAGACGTTCGGCGAACCTTTCGGGAACGCGTCGGGAACGCGTCGGGAAAGAGAAAGGAGCAACGACGAACGAGAAGACGCGCACGAGTACTCGACCGAACGGAAGCAACGAAAAAGAAGGGAGCCGGAGAAAGGGTGAAGAGAGGGTGGCGAACAGCGGATAAGAGAGTTTCTTTGTGTGCTCGTGTACGGCGGAGGGATGAAAGCGGAGGATGAAAAAGCCGGGGGACAGATGGCCCTTTCAGACAATGAGAAACTCCGGAGATAAGGGGAACGCGAGCGAGAATCTAAGGGGAGAAAGAGAAAGAGCAGCAGGGAAAAGATTGGCGGGAGAAAGAAGGAAAGGAGGCAAAACTGCTTTTTTCAGACGGCAATGGAGAGGGATGTAATGAACGACGGGGAAGAAAAAGAGCAAGAAAAACACCGATAGAACGAGAGAAGGAGAAAGAGAAACGGAAAAGACGGAAACGCGCGAGAAGAAGCAGAATGAACTCGCGAACAATCTTTGAACGTGATTAATGATCGAGCGACACGGTATCGTACGAATACGCGTACGTCGTACGTTTCAATCGTTTCAATCCTTGCGTCTTCGCCCCTAACTTTCCTTCCTTCTCGACCGACCGCGTATCGATAATATTTTACTCGCGTTTTCCGTTTCGGCGATCGATAACGTTACGAAATTATACTTACGAACCCCTGTCGGAAACGATCGGCTTCGACGCTTTTACGAGCTTCTCCGAATAAATCGGAAAACTCGCGATTCCAAGATAACGCGTAAGCGAGCTAAAACGAGACCACGGAAGAATCGACCTGTAAAGTCTTCCCTTTCTTTACCGTCTATCTTTCCTCTCTTTTCTCGAACGCTTTTAAAGAAACAGGATATACGGCGCGTGACGAAGATCGTGAAACGGCGTAAGAAGCGGAAAGCAAAGAGGGTTGCCAACGGTAAAGAAAGGCTCAAGGGAGTAGAGTAGAGTAAGTCGGGACGAAAGTAAAGAAGGAGACGACGACGACGGTGGCGACGGCGACGAACGAGCAAACGGAGGAGCTTGTGGAGGAGAGGTAAGACGCGGTGGAGGCGATGGTGAAGGTAATAGCAGTAGCGGCGATGGTGGGAAAGGTGGGGTGGCGATGCTGACGTAGAGGAAGCTGGAGGTAGAGGTGGCGAAGGAAGTTACCGAGGAAGGGGAGTAAGGTAAGCAGTGGAGAGGAGAAGGAAAAAGAGAGCAAAAGTACATAGTTCGAAATGGAAGAAAGGAAGAAAGAAAGAAAGGAGGAAAGAAAAATGAAGGGAGAGAGAGAGAGAGAGAGGATAGGGCGGTCGACGGGATGTTAAGGGGAAAGTCAGAGGGTGAAAAGAGGAATCGAACAAAGTCGAACGAAGCAAGAAAAATTTCTCTCGCTTTGTCTCGTTCCCCTGTTTCTCCGGCGTCTCCTTCTTCGCGTGCTTTTCTCCGTTCGCAACGGAAACGCCAGGGAAGGGGAACCGAAGAAAGAGAAGGTCGAGGGTAGGAAGAGTCGGGCAAGTTATACGGTAAAGGAGCAGATGGAAGAAGAGGGGCACAGACGAAGAAGAAGACGAAAAAGAAGGAAAAGGAGAGAACGCGAAGAGAAGGGAATGACCAAAACGTTCGGTCGTTGCGAGTGAGTCAGAGGCCCCGGTATCGCGAGAGATAGAAACTGAAAAAGAGTACGGGAGCTGCGGAAGAAAAAGAAAAGCCCGGGAAAAAAGAGAAGGAAGAAAGAAAGAGACGGCCGGATGGGAGGTAGGGATGGAGGGAGAGAGAGGAAGAAGAAAGCGGGAGGGCAGGGGCAGCTCGAGAGAACGACAAGCCCAAAACGAGGACAAAGAGAAAATGACAAAGGCGAGAGGCGCGTTCGATTCGATTGGAAAGGCAGGCAGAGGGGCCTCTTTCCTTTTACCAACGTTTTCTCCGTATTATACTCCGTACTTTCCGTTGTTCCTATGCGCGCGCGTTCCAAGATGCACACAACGCGAACGCGAACGCGAACGCGACCGCGCGTACATCTACTACGCGATATAGCCTATACTGGAAAAATATACGTTCACCCGTGTTCCCTTTCTTTTACGTGTTCCTTTGCATCCATTACCTTTCATTCCCTGTCTCTGTTCTTCACGCTTGTACACAACTTTTTCCATTTCTCTCGCGTCTTCCTCCCTCTTCTGCCGTCTCGATAACTATACGAAGTTTCGCGTTATGTGGCTCTATGCTTTTGCAGCGAGAGGACAGCTTTATACGTGGGTGAACGGGAAAATGTCTTTTGAAACCTTTCTAGGTCGCTCTCGATCGCCCCACTGTCAGTCATCTACGCGCGATTCCGCTTGCGGCTCGATGAAAACGGTCGATCTCGTCTCTCGAGGTTTTTCTCTTAACGATACTCTAACACACAATTATGCCCATAATATTCTTCCTTTTTATTCATTTTTATTCCATCCTACAAACAAATGTCATAGATAAATATACAGATAACGCTACTCTTAATAAAGGCTAATAATAAACAACAGTGATAATAATAATTAATAATAACTAAATTAAGAAAAGAGAAAGAAAAAGAAAAACGATCGCAATAATGACCGTACCAGAGCACGGGTTATTAGCGCGATTCGCGATATTTCACCGGCTATCTTTTCGACGCGTATCCGTTTTCGCGTCTAACCCCGGTGGTCGCGTTTCAAGGCCTCCCTGGTTAAACCTAATCAATCTTGTCAACTATAAATCGTCGCGAGTAACAACCTGAAATTTGTTAACGTTAAACTTATTTTTACGTTCTTTAACGTTATCCTCTCGTAGCCGGTTGTCCTCCAGAACTCGAGCCTTGAATCGTTCTAAGAAAAAATAGGAGAAAAGGAGTAACAGGGAGACGGACGGATGGAAGGGATAGGGACGGAGAAGGTAAAGAGGGAAGAGAAAAAGGTGCAGCTCTCTCGATGGGTGCGAACGCGGCAAGGCCGAGAGAAGGAACAGTAAAATTGTGGAGAATGTGTACGCGCCATCAGGGTGGCCTAGATTCGGTCAAGACCTGCTTTCTAGGCAACATTTCTCTTTATCATCGGCACCGCGAGCACAAATGTATACTGTACAGGTAAACCGTTGCGTTGCGTTGCGTCGTGTCGGATCGTGTCGCGTTGCGAGGCGCCATACGATCACGAAGAAAACTCGACTACCTACTCGTGCTCCGATCGTTCTCGCCATTCTTTTACCCGACGTTTCATAAATACGCAGCATGCTCCATCGCGTATCGCGATTTCCAAATATGTACTACCAACTTTTCAACTCTTCTCGCTTCCCTTCGTTCCATCTGCGCGGATCGTCCTACCTATGCCCTACCCTCCCTTTTCAACCTCTTTTCCTTACCTTCCTTTCATCCCATCCCCCATCCTCCGCTCCCGTTCCCGCACTCCTTCGCAGCCTTTCTTCGTTACCTTATCGCTTCCTTACCCCCGTGTTCCGCTTTATTTTCTTTTTTTCTTTCTTTTTTCAAAAATGGCTTCAATCGATTCTTTCGAATCGAAATTACTAAATAAAAGATACTTTTTTCTGGTTGCGAGTCGGAAGTAAAACTACGTAGAAAATTTGACGAGATGCCTGCTTACGATGTACGATATAAAAGAGAAACGATGAAAGAAGCAACGTTTACGCGAATTTCTATACCGTTATCGATCGGTAATTTGTTAAGCAAACGATTTTATATCGAGACGCGTTATCGTTCACGTTCGCACCGCTGTTTTGGTCATGTAACGCGCGCAAACATTAAATAAGCGTTTCCTGCGCATACGTAATCGGTGATTATTGGGCAGTTATCGTGCACGTGACCTACCGTAATCGGTGACAGCGTTTCGAACGTACACGCGGCAAGTGTTCCAAATCCTTGGCGGAGGAGCCACGAGGCGCGCGTCGAGGGTCGTTTAATTCGTTGCTTCGTACGACAGGTCGTTAAACGTTGTAGATCATTGTCACGCACACCGCTACGACTACGCGCACGCGAGTTGACCAGCTGTGCGAGATACACACGGTACACGGAACCGTCGAAAGTCAAAACAATACGCGTAAGCACGCGCGAGCACGCGTGAGCGGGATGCAAAATATCGGGACAATTTTGCCGAATCGGGTAC